TGTGTATGCTTGTGTATATACATATACATTTAAATGTAACAAAATATTTTGTTATTAGGAGTTATTAGCTTACATCCTTCCATGGAACAAAATGGAAATACATATTCTAGTGATAACAGACCTCGGATAATTTGTAAACCTCTTAAACCTTCGATTATGGATAAAATTCAAAATAGAATGTAAACAAATTAATAAATTTTTAAATTTTAAAAATATTAATAACCATTACAAATTTATTATGCCTAATAGACAAAAATTGAGTGAAATGGAAGAAGAAGAGTTTACTGTAGAAAGCAAAAAACCAATATTAATCGATGAAAAACCACAAGTTTTATCTATTAAGCCAAAGAAAAAACCCCAAGCAAAACATTCATACAGTACTAGAGCAACAAATATTGAAAATGATCCTCATGTAAAACAAAATAATAAATTCAATAATAGAAATTTGTACATCAATGTTTTTTTTTTATATTTAGGATAATAGATCATCTTCTAATCCAGAAGAAACGGGAGATGAAGATACAGACTACACAGATGGAGGTGCTTCAAATGAAAAAGTTGAAACTGATACAGATACTGATTTAGGGGATAGTTCTGAGTACTCAGATTGGGTTGCTGATAGTGGTACCAACCTTGAACCTCCCAAAAGAACTCAACATAGAAGAAGACGTGTAAAAAGAGATACTACCCCTCCATCTTCACCATCANAGAAGAAGACGTGTAAAAAGAGATACTACCCCTCCATCTTCACCATCACCTCCATCATCTCCTCATGAAGGACCTAAAACCATCTCACCTAGAAAAGTCCAAAAAGTAATTAGAAAAAAAATAAACATTCAAAAATTTTCTAATTTAGTTAGATTATAATTTTTTTCTTTTATTTCCTCTAAATCAATTTAATATTAATTATATTAATTTCATTGTATTTTAATTTAGGAAGTTCCAGAAATTTACAGACCTTCAGAATGGTTTTCTGAAGTTTTACCAAAAAAATCTCCTTATTGTCCTCAAATGGGAGACATTTGTATGTTTTTTGAGCAAGGTTATAATTTATACTTAGAAGCAGTTGAGACAAAAAAAGTGTATAAATTAAAAAAAACACAGTTTGTACCTTGGGGAGATTTAGAGCTTAAAGTAAAAGAAAATAAAATTTAATATTAAATATAAATGTTGATGAATTGTATTTATTGAACTTAGGAACCTCAAATGGTTAAAGTAATTGGTATTAAGTATGAGATTAGACCACCACGCTTATGTGGTTTAAGATTAGCTGTATTAAAAGAAAATGGTGAACATACTTCGTTCAGTTTTGATCTTAAATACCATGATATGCAAGATGTTATTGATTTTCTAGTTTTAAGGCAAACTTATGAAACTGGTTTAGCTAGAAAATGGAAAGAAGGTATTAATATTAATTATAATGTTTAATCACTTAATATATATTGATATATATTTCCATATTTATTTTCAAGTTGGGTTTAAATAATATTTTTTTAATTTTAGGACAACGTTTTAGAAGTATGATTGACAATGCTTGGTGGTGTGGTAAAATTTTAGAAAAAAGTTCATCTAAATCACCATTTTTATGTTATAAAGTTCTTTGGGATAACGAAGAAAATGAAAATTTAAGTCCCTGGGATATGGAACCTATAAATCCCAAAAGTATGAATTTCTACATTTTAAATCATACTAATAATATATTATTATTATTATTAATTAAAAATTTTTTTAAGGAGAACCTCTTAATGGTATGTCTCTACCAGTAACTGCAAAAGAAATGAAAGATATTTTATATCAACCTGAATCTGGAAATAAAGAATGGCCAAGTGGTACTCGTGATTTAATATGTGATCGAATACTCAGAGGTTTGCATGATCTTATGGGTATGTCTCTCGCAGAACCGTTTTTGGCTCCTGTCGATATTCAAGAATATCCATCATATGCTTATATAGTAGAATACCCTATTGATCTTTCAATAATAAAAGTAGTTATTTTTGAAAACCTAAATTTAAATAATTATTAACTAAGTTTCTCTTAGGAAAGATTAGAAAATCGTTTTTATAGACGTTTGGCTGCTGTTCAGTTTGATGCACGTTACATAGCTAGTAATGCTGAGAAATTTAATGAAGAAGGTAGTGATATTGTGAGAAATGCTCGTATTATTACAGAAATATTACTAACAATAATTAAGTATGTTATATTAATTTTTTAAATAGAAAGAAAATCAACCATATTTATGATGTTTAATTGTAAATATTTTTATCCAGATCTAATACACCTGTTGAAGTACCTGCTTTGTGCCGCCAATTACAACAAAATTTTAAAAACAGTGAAGAAGAAAATAAAAAAAATGGTAATACAAATCAAAATCGTCCACAAAGACTTCGACCTCGTACATTAAGAGAAAGGAGTAAACAACCATTTGACTGGAAAGCAGAATGTAAAAAATTTTTACAAATGATTTGGTTATCCAAAGATAGTGAACCATTTAGGTAGTTTAATCAATTTTTCATTAAATCTAAATCTAAATACTTAAAAATTAATTAATGTTTAGGGAACCTATTGATTATAATAAATATCCAGACTATGGGCGTATTGTAAGTACTCCAATGGATTTAACAACAATTAGGGAAGAATTACGTGCAGATAACTACAATAACCTTGAAGAATTCTGTGAGGATATTAGACGAGTATTTGAGAATTCTCAAGTGTATGCCAAGGTTCATCCTAATAAAGAGGTTGGATAAGTTATGTTGTATATTTTTAGTGATAGCTAAAGTAATTAAGTTTTATTTATAATATATATATATATATGTATATATTTATATATGCACAGATAGAGAAAATGACTCAAGGTATGATTGAAATGTCTGAAGAACACATAAAGGAATTATTAGCCAAATGGAAAAAATCCTCTAGACATTCTAATAATTCATGTAATACAAAAACTCTTGATTTATCAATTAATATATTATTAATTACATTTGTATCATCATAGCTTTAGCCAATCATTTGAGTTCTCGTCCTCAAAGAAGATGCCGTTTAAAAAGAAGAAGATCTTATGACAATAGTCCAAGTGACAATGGTAGTGATGATGATTTTAGTATAAGATCTAAACGACCTAGAAGGTTGAAACAAATTATTTTAAAAGAAGAAACATCTGGTCACTCAACAGAAGAAGAAGAAAATTTTGACCCTAACCAGCCTTCAACTAGTTATGCCCATAGTGAGTATCCGAGGTGTTACAAAAAAGTAACAAAACTTTTTGAATAAAAGTGCTTTAAAATTTTATAATTTAGTGATTATTGCCTTCAAAGTAGCTTCCCTTAGCAACTACACACTATTCCATATTTCGCTGCAATTCTCAAAAACAGTTCTATCAATCGCTTTCAGTAAGCCTTTATAAAAGTTTTGCCATTTTTATATTTACATCATCAACCGTTTGAAAATGGGTTCTTTTTAAAGAATTTTTAATTTTTGGAAATAAAAAAAAATCACAATGAGCTAGATCTGGTAAGTTGGAGAGGGGTTGTTGAAATATAGTATAGAAATATTTTTTTCAGTCAAAAAATATTGAATTGAAAAGTAGTGTAGTATTGTCCTGGTGAAGAATCCAGCTTTACTTCTACAGATCTGGTCTTTTCCCTAACACATTCTCTGAATTTAATTAATACCTCTTTATAATAATATTGGTTTACTGTCTGTCTACTAGGAATCCATGTAACCAAAACTATTCCCTTAATATCAGAGAATATTATAGATAATATAGATGAAGTGATTTTATCAATACTCATAGCAGTCTCATATAAGTGTTTCCTAATCATATTCCAATAATCGCTTTATAGATAACATTAATAGTTAAGAAAGTCTCATTACTTATGTGTGACACCTCGTAGTACTGAATATCTAATGAATTGTGAACATTTTATTATTTTTAAATTGTGTTTTGTNTTAAATAATATTATTTTAATTTTAGGACAACGTTTCAGAAGTATGATTGATAATGCTTGGTGGTGTGGTAAAATTTTAGAAAAAAGTTCATCTAAATCACCATTTTTATGTTATAAAGTTCTTTGGGATAACGAAGAAAATGAAAATTTAAGTCCCTGGGATATGGAACCTATAAATCCCAAAAGTATGAATTTCTACATTTTAAATCATACTAATAATATATTATTATTATTATTAATTAAAAATTTTTTTAAGGAGAACCTCTTAATGGTATGTCTCTACCAGTAACTGCAAAAGAAATGAAAGATATTTTATATCAACCTGAATCTGGAAATAAAGAATGGCCAAGTGGTACTCGTGATTTAATATGTGATCGAATACTCAGAGGTTTGCATGATCTTATGGGTATGTCTCTCGCAGAACCGTTTTTGGCTCCTGTCGATATTCAAGAATATCCATCATATGCTTATATAGTAGAATACCCTATTGATCTTTCAATAATAAAAGTAGTTATTTTTGAAAACCTAAATTTAAATAATTATTAACTAAGTTTCTCTTAGGAAAGATTAGAAAATCGTTTTTATAGACGTTTGGCTGCTGTTCAGTTTGATGCACGTTACATAGCTAGTAATGCTGAGAAATTTAATGAAGAAGGTAGTGATATTGTGAGAAATGCTCGTATTATTACAGAAATATTACTAACAATAATTAAGTATGTTATATTAATTTTTTAAATAGAAAGAAAATCAACCATATTTATGATGTTTAATTGTAAATATTTTTATCCAGATCTAATACACCTGTTGAAGTACCTGCTTTGTGCCGCCAATTACAACAAAATTTTAAAAACAGTGAAGAAGAAAATAAAAAAAATGGTAATACAAATCAAAATCGTCCACAAAGACTTCGACCTCGTACATTAAGAGAAAGGAGTAAACAACCATTTGACTGGAAAGCAGAATGTAAAAAATTTTTACAAATGATTTGGTTATCCAAAGACAGTGAACCATTTAGGTAGTTTAATCAATTTTTCATTAAATCTAAATCTAAATACTTAAAAATTAATTAATGTTTAGGGAACCTATTGATTATAATAAATATCCAGACTATGGGCGTATTGTAAGTACTCCAATGGATTTAACAACAATTAGGGAAGAATTACGTGCAGATAACTACAATAACCTTGAAGAATTCTGTGAGGATATTAGACGAGTATTTGAGAATTCTCAAGTGTATGCCAAGGTTCATCCTAATAAAGAGGTTGGATAAGTTATGTCGTATATTTTTAGTGATAGCTAAAGTAATTAAGTTTTATTTATAATATATATATATGTATATATTTATATATGCACAGATAGAGAAAATGACTCAAGGTATGATTGAAATGTCTGAAGAACACATAAAGGAATTATTAGCCAAATGGAAAAAATCCTCTAGACATTCTAATAATTCATGTAATACAAAAACTCTTGATTTATCAATTAATATATTATTAATTACATTTGTATCATCATAGCTTTAGCCAATCATTTGAGTTCTCGTCCTCAAAGAAGATGCCGTTTAAAAAGAAGAAGATCTTATGACAATAGTCCAAGTGACAATGGTAGTGATGATGATTTTAGTATAAGATCTAAACGACCTAGAAGGTTGAAACAAATTATTTTAAAAGAAGAAACATCTGGTCACTCAACAGAAGAAGAAGAAAATTTTGACCCTAACCAGCCTTCAACTAGTTATGCCCATAGTGAGTATCCGAGGTGTTACAAAAAAGTAACAAAACTTTTTGAATAAAAGTGCTTTATTTTTAAAATTTTATAATTTAACGATTATTGCCTTCAAAGTATCTTCCCTTAGCAACTACACACTATTCCATTCTTCGCTGCCATTCTCAAAAACAGTTCTACCAATCGCTTTCAGTAAGCCCTTATAAAAGTTTTGCCATTTTTATATTTACATCATCAACCGTTTGAAAATGGTTTCTTTTTAAAGAATTTTTAATTTTTAGAAATAAGAAAAAATCACAATGAGCTAGATCTGGTGAGTTGGATAGGGGTTGTTGAAATATAGTATAGAAATTTTTTTTTTCAGTCAAAAAATATTGAATTGAAAATGTAGTGTAGTATTGTCCTGGTGAAAAATCCAGCTTTTCTTCCACAGATCTGGTCTTTTCCCTAATACATTCTCTGAATTTAATTAATACCTCTTCATAATAATATTGGTTTACTGTCTGTCTACTAGGAATCCATTTAACCAAAACTATTCCCTTAATATCAGAGCATATTATAGATAATATAGATGAACTGATTTTATCAATACTTATAGCAGTCTCATATAAGTGTTTCCTAATCATATTTTAATAATCGCTTTATAGATAACATTAATAGTTAAGAAAGTCTCATTACTTTTGTGTGACACCTCGTAGTACTAAATATCTAATGAATTGTGAAAATTTTATTATTTTTAAATTGTGTTTTGAAGGTGAAAAGCGTACATCAAGCCAGAAAAAAAAATCTATTGATATGCCATCTACTAGCAAAACTGAAGTCAAAGAAGAAGT